TCTTCGACTCCATTTCTGTGATCTAGTGCGCAGAACAGGCCCGCTATTCTTGGGAACGTCTCGCCAATTGGATTGTTTATGCGAAGGAAGAAGACCGTATAATCTTTTGTGTTACATTTGGCATGGGACGTTCTCCTCTGGAAGTGGCAGGAACTGAAGGACGGCGAGACAGACAACCAGCCCATTTTCTTTTTTTTTAATCCCCTTCGTCGTGCCCTTTTTTGCTGTGTGTGCATTTCTGGGAATTTGTTTCCGCAAATGTTCACATGCGCCGTCCCTTGAGTCCACAAGCGCAGCGGAATTTTTTGTCGTACGCGGTTCGTACTGCTTGCTCAAAGGTCATTGAATTACCGTAGTTGCTCAAACAGCAAACGCAAGCCAATTTAAAGAGTTTCGGAAGTAATCAATCTGCGAGAAAGCCCGCTAAACCAAGGCTATCTTCCAACGAGGTCTTTCCAATAAGTGCAGAAAAGCAACTTTTCTCCAATTCTCCGTTCTGATTATCAATTGCTTTTTGTTGCAAGAACAGAGAACAATGGGATGGTTGTGATACCAACGGCTGAATCTTCTGTTTGCTCTTCGTCTTCTTGTTTCCTTTGCGTGAAAGGAGAAGAGAGACCAAGGTCGGGACAGATGGTTGGACGCCAGAAGCGGGGTCTGGCGTTCCTCCTCATTTCACTTCCTTCACCTCGGCTTTTTCTCAATAAGTCTGCGGGGTCGGAGGTTGTTTTGAACTTTGCAGCGGAGAGCGTCGGGATTTGGGAATTGTTATTTCTCTCCTCTTCCAGTTCCCTGGCTGTTTTTCCGAATGTTTTTCGAACGACGACGCACCAAAAAGTGCGGTCCATAAAAACGGCGTCTTTCAACAGTGCAAAAATTGGCGTCCCTTGTGTTCGAACGGGGGGCTCTCTATTTTCCGGGCGTTGAATCTTCAACTTCCCTTCCACTACCTAGTTTTCGTTTTCCTGCCGATCTTTGTTTCCCAATCCGCGCGTCTTCTCCTTCTCCATCTGATAGTAATCGGAGGCAGGAGTTATGTGTCGTTCTCTTTTTTCCGATAAATTCGAATAAGAGTGCAAATAGAAGGAGAATAAAGTCCCCCAATGGCCATCCGAAACCATTCTAAAAGTGCTTTGATACTTTTAATGGGTCCATCTTTTATGGCTGTTTCGTGATTCTTGTACTTTTAGCCTTGATGAGAATTCTTTGTAAGGTTTTCGGCATGAAACGATAGGTCTGCGCTTTAACCTTTCCGTAGTCTAATGTTCCCGTTTCAAATACATATACTCGTTTCAAAAACGCAGGAAAGCGCGTCCTGTAATCCGTGTTTTAAGCCGCTGTTGAAGCCGGACGTGAATAGCGGCGTTTCTCAAATCAACAGATATCTCTTTAATTGTAAACATAAACACTAACCTTCTGGATGGATTAGACGTTCAACTTTGAATTTGGCTCTAATGCCATTGAATTGTTTGTTTGTCTAACTTGTAGTCTTTTGTTTTCGTGGAATCGGCAAGAAAACCAAATTAACCAATTCAAAATTGGAATATTCGGATTATGCGATAACAATTTCTATTCAAAGCCATTCCCATGCGAAATTTGTCAAATTAACCTCTTACTTAAACAAGAATTATATTGAAATCCCTCTTCTTACGGAATTTTACAGGTTTTTTTCAAAATTACACTAGAGCACGACAAGTTCCTACTCTGACCTTTCGGTTTATTTTCGATTAGTCCCAAGCCGTGTGGAACTAGCATGCATAAAAACACGGTGTCTGCCCCAAGGTCATAAACAAAACATCAGACTTTTTGAGTTGTCTGCACTTAAAACGGGCCTAAAACCGAAGGCCTTGATCCGTTTTGTGGGGTGAACGTTTTCCCCCAAACTTCGAACTATTGCGTCATCCAAATACATATTGCGAAGTTTTTTACGGATCTTTTTATTTTTTTTTGGGCCTTTCCAAAAGAGTGTTATCTGAAATCTCTCGTCTTTTCTTTTGTAAAAAAATCCTTTCCTGTTAATTGAATGAGATTTTTGGGAAGTTGTCTGTCAAGACTCGGCGGAAAATCCATCACGACGCTCTGAACGACCTTCGTCAGCACTTTCGTTCGCCCTATTACGTTGTGATCACAAATCAAGTTTCCCCCCCTCCCGTTTCTCCATGACTTTTCTGCTCTTTTGGCCTCCGACTTTTTCCGTTGGGATGTTGCTTTTTATAAACAGACCGTTAAAAGTGCAGAGTCGGATGAATGGGGCGGCGATAAAAGTACATGATGCACTTTTACGTGGGGAATGCAACGGGTAGATAGGCGGGTATTTGCTCGCCGATTTCTGCGAAAATGCGCACATTGTTTTGGTGTCGGAGCCGGGCTGCGAACAAAACTATTGCCCTCAACAGGACTTCAGCAAAAAACATAGGCCTCTGAAGGGAATGTAAACTTCTAAAGGAAAATCTAGAGGTCGAGTAGAGCAGAGACCTTTGCAGTTGTTTTTCGTCTCGCAAACCGAGACATTTCTCGAAAATCTATAGCATTTCTGAATGGAAGCAAGAAACGAACGAGCTGGACCAAACTCATTACGCCTATTATATTACCCTTACTGCGTATGCGTGCATTTGAAATAGAAAATGCACGTAAGCCTGGTTCCTCCTCGAACGCCTTGTATCTAACCTTCGCCTGCAGAAAGCGATATTTTTCAAACCCGCTGGAAGCCGCATCGATTACTTTTCTCGCAATTAAAAGCGCCCAGAGACCGCAAAAGCGAGCTGAAAGAACAACCAGCTACAACGTTTTGCTGCATCAAAAAAAGACCGCAGAATTATGGATCGCGAGGTCGCTCTGCCCCCTGTAAAATGATTCCGTTGGTCTTTTGGGCCCCCAACATTTCTGTATTCCCCATTTTAGCGCATCGAAAACTCTCGCCTGACATTTTACAGCCCGGGGTTTTTTTGTGTTCCCAGCAGCTTTTCATTCGACACTTTCCGACCAACTCCTTCTCTCCATTCGGCTTCAGAATCGGCTTCTGCTGGACTCTGATGCCTGTGTTGTGATGAATAGAGCATAAAAAATAGTTCCGTGCAAATATATGTGCGATGGAGAATTTGTTCGTTACGTTTTTTGGAAAGATGTCTGGCGCTCGTGTCGTTTGGACCCCCTTACAATACGTGAGAAAATGGAGATTCCAAAGGAATTTGGCTACAGTTTTATATTTTAAAACGCCCGCGGGTCCGTTCTCGACCCCAATTGAGCTTTCCAAGGCCGTTAACCTTCAAGTGGTCTTCATATAGAAAGTGTTTAAATGGGTGTAACGTGGATTACACGTAGTTGTTCCCGCTAGTCTTACAGTTTTTTTGAACCCATATCGAGATAATTAAAAGTGCACGGTGATGGATCGGGTCCGTTTCTCGTCTTATCAGCCGTCTCCCTTTTCTATTTGTTCTTTGTCGGTCGTTGATCATCTAATTGTTTCTCAAAGTGTGCTTTTCCTTCTCCCAATCGCCCTGTAGCTGATCTTTACCCCCACGGGGTGTTTCAACAATTGCTCTTGGGTGGTCTCCAAACCGCGTCACGAGTTATTTCTCCCCAACCTTTTCCTCGGGCCACACCGCGGCCAGGGCGTCTATTTTAGGCCCGTGTTCCCGGAAAGCCGGTGCTGTTTGATTTCGAATTCATGGGGCATATTAAACCGGAATCTACATGGGAGAACGGCACATAAAGGTCGTGGGGAACGCTGGTAATGTTAATTCCCCGAACAGGCTTGCTTTTTCACGGGCGGCGTAGCGAGAAAAAACATCTAAATATTCCCTTTTATATCTTTGTTAATCCACCGGGGCCTACAATTTGCGTCGGGGGCGGTTCTGCTGCACAGTGCGAAATTCCTACAAATCCAGGGCCCTACACATTTACACCTTCTGCCTAATGAGTGCCCAAATTTTACCTTCATTCCTCGCTTTTTGATGGAGAATTAGGCAGAAAACTAATCAGTTCTTAATGACCCCCATCATATTCTAATTCTCTAATCGGACGACTCTCTAATCACCTCTGGCGTTGGTGGTTTTTTGGGACCATTTTACAGTAAAGGTCATCTTCTTCAGGGCTGCATTTTTGGACAAGTGCAAGAGTGCACTTTTTATCTCTGTCCTTTGCGAAGAGAGGCGGTGCGGTGGACCGAGGGGCCACAGAGGCGGGATTTAACTTCATTTCATTCATGTCTGCCCTTATCCCGTTATAAAACTTCGCTTTTGCTGTCCGTCGCGACGTCAGTCTTTACGGTAATAGGCCTTATTTTGTCTGGATCCGGTGTAGTCGCGGAATTGCAATTGCAGTTTGTTTTACATTTTTTATTTTTCATTGTTCTTGGGTGGTAAAATGTAAACTCGGGCATTTTGAGGTACGCCCGCGGCCATTACTTTTCCGAACCCAGTCTCGTCTAATTTAACGGACTTTAATGTTGCATTTTATTTTCGTAGTCTTGGGCTCGGCACGCAAACGACGAATGTGGGCCTTGAGGTCTGTCAATTAGAGAACGATTCATAAAAAAGAACGTTCAGAGTTTACTTTTAGGGCATAACTTGGTCAATTCATGTGCATTAAGAGGTCGAGTCGTGGGCCAGACATAGTTTTCGAAGAATGTAAAGTGCCTAAAGCGGCGTCCCGCCCTTTATTCTTAGAGTAGACCAATCCTTCTTTTTTACGTCAGGATCCCTCATTTTGGAGATGCAAATAAGGTCATGAGAGCAGACAAATGGAGGTCATGAGATCTCTGCTCATTGCACTTTTTGTTGCGACCATCCTGATCGCAATCTCGACATTAATTCATACGTAATTTTGGGTCCATTTGAATTAATGAATAATATTCTTTTTCCTTATGCGCCGCGAGAACCGTTCTTTACGTGTCCATGGAAATTACAGTCCGGCACAATAAACAAGGCCGTTTCGCGTTTTCCATTTTTATTTACTCTTATCGTGTCTTCAGACGTCGACGACGGTCCGAGATTTAAAAAATGGGAAATGCCACGGAGATCCAATGGCTGCAGATGCTGCAACAACACCCGCAGCTGCCGTTGGGTGCGAACCATGACTTGCACTTGATGAATAGCGTTAATACCCAAGCTCTAACGTCACTGAATCCGACTCCAATGGTGGGATTGGGAACTACTGGATCGGCGTTTAAGCCGCCTCACGTTCTGCCGAATCTTCCACAAACACAGGCCGAACAAGACGCGTCTAATCGGGTAAGCTAAGAGTGCAGATAATTTAATGTAAAGAATTCCCAAAAAAAAAAGAAAAATACGAAAAGTGCAAGTGCCCTTTTAGAGCATGTCTATGATCGGAAGGGGTGGAGTGAAAACAAGAATTATAATACATAAAAGGGCGGGCTGAAAACGAAAACAAGTCTTTTCTTGCCTCACTTGCTGACGGTTATGCTTTTCCAGGAGCCGAGCCAGATTGCGGCTACGATTATGACCCTTCAAAATCAACAAGAGGCCCTGCCTTCAATGAATTCTAATCAGATGACGTTGATTCAACTGCTACAACAACAGCAACAACAACAAGTCCAGCAGGAGTTGCTGAACCTTTTATTGGCTAATCAGAATCCGGCGTTGAATCTGAACGATGTCCAACAATTGCTACAACTGCAGATGCAACAACTTCATCACCTCGCGGCGCCAGTCACTCAACCTCAACAGATTCGCCAGACTGCCGCGCAGACATCTGTTCCACAGTCCAGCCAGATTCCTCAACCGACAGCGGTAAGTCAAACTACAAAATTTGTCATTTTTTATGCTCCTTTCTTCACTTATCTAATTTTTATCGTCATCAATAAAAATTCTTCTTTCAGGCCCAAGAAAAACGTTCCGCTTCCACAGAATTGCCTTCAAATAGTCGGAAACGGTCAGGAGATGAACCATCTGGCGCTGGAACCCCACCAAAGAAGACAATGGCCGAGGAACAAAGTCCATCGCCTAAGCCAGAGATGCGAGAGAGAGCTCACACGTTACCCGTGAGGATTATTGGAAGAGAAGCCCCAAAAAGAACGATTGATCCGTTCGATCCCATTCAGAATGCCAAATATAAAACTGACGACCCTAACTCTCCCTACCGCCATCATCCAATCAACGTAAGCTGATTTTCAGATAAAGCGTTATATTGACCATGTCTAGCCTTCGTTTTTCTATTTGAGAATTGCGAAGGCTTTATGTAACTACACGTGTTTTACCCTAAATTTTTCAGCAAAAGCGCAGTAAGAACGCGGAGATTATTGCCGACATCTGCCGAGACTTCGTGGAACTGGTGCTGAAACGCAGCCCCGACTTCCATGAAAACGGTCTGTGGTTCTCGAAGAACTAGTTGAATCTTCGAAAACCCACTTCACTGTAATTTCCAACCAATACACCACTCAGCAACATCCATGCCAACAATTCTCTACGTTTGACCGGCTTGTTATTCAAATTTCCATACATTCCTTGGCGGTCGACTCTCCGTTTAGCCCGTTTTCGTCACTCAACTCTTTCGTTTCGCTACTCCTTTACGTACCTAGCCTTGGCGACTCTCGCCCACCGAATCATCCGTACCTCCACTGCCTTAGGCCTCTCTAAATGGGGCTGATTGTAGCCAACATTACTGCGTCTACTTCATCATTGGTTCCCATGAAATTGGAAGCGGTTATAGCGCCGCCGTTCTCACAACTTAAATCCTCGTTTGTATAATTATTCCTTTTGTAAATACATAATAAATTCAGCCCTATATTCAGATTGCAAAAAGCGGAAAACAATCCATTCCCCCCAGAGGGAAACTGAGGTAAACAAAGTTGTACAGAGTTAAAATGCTGGTGTTGATGTCCTTAAAATCTAAGCTTAAACAACGTCAGCCTAATCGACATCCCCAGCTAGGTTCGTGACGCAAGAAGAGTTATTTTTGGCAACAATATTCTGATTACATTACCCATGTTAAAAAATCCCCAAACTTATAAAAAAGATCATAAAAATGTTTAAAATGGTTTGTCCTACCTGAGTAATCTCCGAAAAGGTCTCAGCGAGGATAGCGAGCTTGCTGGTTGGGTTGAAGACGCCGCTGATCTGTTGTAGCCTCGTTACAGCGCTGCCGTAGAACTTGTTTCGAGCGCTGACTCTGGCCTAAATACGATTTTTAGACTCTCTAAAGGTCCCAATAAATTGCATATTTTTCTTTTGAATGGCTTTTACAGCCTTCTGTAAGCTTAATTTAGGCAAGAATTGCCAAAATCATCGGTTATTGCCTACGAAAATATAACGGTTGCATCGAATTCCCTCATTATTATAAGTTCATCTGTCGTCAAATCCCTATTTCCACATCCCCTGAGGCTCAATGAAGGCGAAGATCGTTTTTTCGTAGATGCCCTTCGTGTACTCTTACCGTGAAAGCATCAAGAACACGCACGTTGTCGTTATCCGTTGGCCAGAGTTCGCTGAAAACAGTGGCATAATTAGTAGGCCTTTCCAAATGCGGATGTACTTTCCGTGAGATCCGCGACGCATGGTATCATTAAGTGTCATGCTGACGTTCCACGACATGCACTACACATAATTGGATCGGCTATATTACACTTGATACACCCCGACCTTTTTAAATCGAAGAGGGTAAAACAACTTCTCAAAATACCCCAACAGTTGTTGTTAGGGAGTAAGTGACCCGTAAGTTAAATAAGATTCAAGATCATAAGCTTTTTGTACTTACCCTTTGACATCAAAATATCTGAGAAGGTGTGCATCTGTGTGGGCATTCAAGTGGAGAAGACGCTCCCAATACCTCCGATCCAGGGCTTCACAACGCTCCGAATAGACCGTAAAGAGGTCTGCGTAGCACACCGAGAACAAATAGTTGATAATAAAGTCGCAACACGGTGTTTCCAATAAAGTTATATCTTCCACATTGCTTCTTAGGGTCTGGGAATCATTTGTGGAGTATTCCCTTGATGTCGAAGGTTGATCCGGATCATTCAGAAGGGCTTGTGCCATCTCTAGCTGCTCCAGAGAACCCACAGACAGCGTCTCTGGTGTCCTGGCGGAGGACACGGAGGAAGTTTCTGACTCAGTATTGTCATGATGAATATCCGGAAGAGTGGGGACTGACGTAAACATATCGCGAGTTGACGGCAAATTGACAAACAACAGCCTAGTGACTGCGTAACACCTCGACATCAATGTTCTGAACTCCAACACAGCCGTATCATACATCACGTGAGTGCCGACACTACTGTAACTGCATGAAAAAAGTTCAATGATCCCTCTCATGAGCCGATTCAATGGATGGAAGTCATTATGGACACAGAGATTCCAGTATTCGGAGACCATTGCATAGTAGCTGCTGCTCCATTCCATGTTGTAATCGGGGATTCTCTCCAATCTATCGTTCATTGTCACCTTTTTTTGCTGTTTCAATTTGGCCAAAGACGCGGCCAGACTGTTCCAAGACTTTTCAGCGACAGAATTTGGGACTACGCTGTCATCATTAAGAGCGGAGAGAAACTCTTCGTTGGAAACTTTGAGTTCGTCGTCCAGGAAGTGCTGGAATAATTCGACCCATTTCTCTTCTTCGTGCACCGCATATTTCCCACGTTTAGCGCCTTCGGCCATTATGAAGTCCCTGGAAATAAGAGCTCAAGGATATGAAGAAATAGTGACAACACGCGTCTTTGCAACAGAATGCCACAGACCCCGCCAAAATCAAAATTCAAACTTCAATTACAACTCGCAACTCCGCTTACTCATCCGATTCAAAGCCTTCTGATAGATGTCTGTAAGTTGCATTTGTAATTGCCAACTCATTTCCGAGTATCTTTCCATGCATCGTTCCAATTATTTGATTGTTTTGATTCAAAGTCAAGGTCCCTTTGCCTGCGGCCACATTCAAATCCTCGAATTTCCCTTCGAAGACCACGACAGCCTCGGGATCCCAGTCGTGTTTCGAAGTTTCATAAACAACTCGACCGTTCTGAAAAAATTATTTATAAACTTTTTATATTTATACTTGATACCTTTATCAAAAAAAGTTTCAAAATGATTCTTTATAACCCATTAGAAGCCAAACTTACCACAAACTTATCGTTTTCAAATATTCCTTCATGAAAAACCCCATCAATAGTCACCAAACTTCCATTTCCATGTCGTTTTCCTTCATTCCATTGGCCGAGATACCTCTCTTTATTCGTCGATTGAACCCCATATCCATGTTTGAGTCCGTTCTGCCATCCGCCAACGTATACGACAATATTATCCTCCCCCATCGCTTTGAATACACCATGTCCATGCATGTGACCGTTGGCCCAATAGCCCTCGTAGGTATCACCATTCACAAATCTACAAAGACTATGAATCTCAGGCCGATTTTACACACATTTCCGAACGAAATTCCGATAAAAATATATTACACTTGGTCCTTATATTACACTAGGTACGGATATCGGAAAACTTTTTTAGCTGAAACATACGTCGCCGATCCCAATCCATGAAGTAATCCATCCTTGAACCTTCCTTTCACCCATCTAACCGAGTCCAAAACACATTTGGGTTGGGAGTAAAAGAAGCTGTTCATTAAAGATGACTGCTGAGCTGAAGGAGTTGCAGAGCCGGTAGTATTTTCCGCAGTTTGCGCTTTATTATTGAAGAATTCACCCATTCCATCAATTTGCCCGTAGGCAAAACGTCCTTTATACTTTCGTTCATCCGGGAATTTGAGTTGACCTCTGAAAAAAATACATATCATAATAGGCGAAAAACCATCGAAAATCAAAATTTTGCCGAAACTACGGTAAGATATGGTTCTTACTTTCCATGAGGTTGTCCATCCAACCAATCCCCATCATAATCACAGTCAGGGAACCTGGGATGCATCGCTGAGAAGTGATATCTGGCATGCCTAACCCTTGTCTCGAAGGTTAATCTTTGCTGAGGGAATTGTAATTGACCTTGGGCATAAGAGATCCGCAGCCTCGCGTACTCGCAAGCTTGGGCAGTCATTTCGAGAAATTCAGACTAAAATACAAATAATTAATACAATTTAACCGACATAAACAGCAAAAATACGATAACAGCACTAGACATGTTTTCACGAAATTGTGCAAAAATGTTGCTTACTGCAGCTTCAGGGCTTTGGAACTCGACTTCGAAAAAGTTCTCGGGGTCTTTCAGCGAGATTGTGACCAGATTATCCACAGATCGTTCGATTTTCAGCAGAGGATAAGCCAATCTGACGATGATTTCGTGCTGAATCACATCCACCGCATCGCTCCACACCATCATCAAGGTGCGTTGGCGGCCAAGGAACTGTCTGATTGCCAGTGGGGAGGCCGTATTTTTATTCTTGATCTTACAAACCGGTTCTTCTGTGAATCCGGCCAAAAGAACTCCATTCTCTCTGGGGTAATGTTCGTTGTTTTGCCAGGTGAGTCTGGCCCATTTCTCCGCTCTATCGAGGTCATTCTCGAGTTTCTTGAAGAATGTGGCGCCCTTGTTAGCATTCTGAAAAGCGTTTTTGATGGCTTTAACTATATTACACATAACATTTTTAGTGCAATTTGTTTATTTTTGTCAATTTTGATGTCAGATAATTTCTATTGCAATATTGATGTAGAAAACTTAATATCCCCTTCAATTTTACAGCATTTCGCATCATAAAAACTGTAAAACGACGGAAAGTTACGGTTGCCTCCCACGCGTTTACTGCCTTGAACTTTTCGTGGAAATCCATAAATTCGTTAAGGTTACGATTTCTAAAGGTCCTCGTACAGTTTCATGACTTCCTTGTTTTTCAATTACAACTTAATTGTAAGCAACACATTTTGTGATTTATCACGGAATCTCTATAAAAACCAGTTTTAGCCCTCGGGGCTTGACCACAATTCGGAATGACCTTGAATTCTGTTGTTGACAATAATTTTTACACAACTTTTTATCCACTCTTTGGTCGCTGACTATTCCGTTAATCGCGTCAGCGTTCCAAAATAATTTATTTTCAAATTCCGTCGATGCAAAAAGCCGTGAAATCATTTTTAGAGGGGATTCTCTGATTCCGAGATTCTGAATTCGTGCATTTCGGTTTTTGAAAATTGGGATTTTTTGCGGGAAAAACATAAGCCCATTAACATTCCATCGGCACTCCGGCAACGATGATTTTGGGTGATGAATTCGGTTGATGAAGTGAGGGGGGATTAGTCTTTTCTGTTCGTTTTTTTGTGAATTCCATTCTCTGACCTTCCCCCTACCAGGAACCAGTGGCTATTAAGGGTTGAAGAATGTGATGTCTGTTACTTTTTTGGGATTCTGATGGTCTTTCGAGAAAGGGCACACTAACCTCGGTCAAGCAGGATATTATACAAGACATCAAATGAGCGTGCGGATTCCAGTGAGTGATTCATCGAACAATTGGCTTCAAAAGAATTGAAGACAATTTTGGTGGAAGTATCAGAGACCCAAGAGCAAAGTTAAGGTCGTTAAATCGACAACAAGACCTTTAGAGATTACCCCGAACAACACGGAAAGAGAACTAACATAAGCGTTTGCATAAAATTCTGGAAAATATGCAATTTTCAATTATACACTTTACACTACACCAAAAATCCCACAAAATTGTATCTAAAAACATTAAAAGACTCTAATTCTACCCCGATAAAAATTTCCGAAACTATCCACTTTCTACAGAAACAACAACCCTAATATTGTGCTGACATTCCTGCTTAAGGACTCCTAAACTCCAAACCAAAAAAATGGTCGTAAATTATTAAATTCAAAGAGGACGTTCAAATTCACTTCTAAATTGGGGTTTCGCTGAACATCGCAAAGCCATTTGTCATACCGAGTCGAGTGTAAAGGGAACATTACACCGACGGTGGTCAAGTCGAGTGGACCTTCGTTGAAATCAGAAAGAGAGAGAAACTGATGAGAATTTCTCTTTACAACTCGAGAATTTGAAACCAAAAACAACTCTGTCGACAAGAAGGGTTCAATTCCAAGCTGATCGATGGGTTACAAATTGAAGAATGGGAATTTGAAAATCTTAGGTTTCGATGACTTTTGAGCCATTCCAATCTTGTTTTTGGGCAAAAACAAAGTTGTAAGAAAGTTTTTGACTTCTCGGTCTCAAATAAATCAATGAGAAAATAAGATTTCCTTACCAATTATCCGAAAAAAAGTGTCCTTGCAAGGTTAATGAAGCAAAACAAGGCTGTCTACCAAAAAGAAAAACAATTTCTAATTCTCAAGGGAATTTATCGAACAGTAACCCTCACCCAGATTTAAACAGAAGTTGGCCTACCTTGATTATGTATTTAAAGCCAAAACACCTCATATTCAGGCGTTTGCCTCCTAAAAAGGGGATGTTTCGGCTTTCTTTGAAATTTTCCAAGAGTTCATGAAGCACATTTCTTATTGATTATCCCGAAGAATACTTTCTAATCATCGGCAATTTCGTCTCTAAACTTCCTCGTTTTTCAAACATGCAACATTGTAATTTGATATCGATGAGAAGGCGCCAACGATCAAGTTAAAAGTAAAAGGCAAAGCCATAAAACGGCCATTAACCTCTTTACTCAATGTCTGCTATCCCATTTTACGAGTCTTGTGACAGTTGTAATAGTACGAAAAGGCAAATGTTTTTCGGAATGTTTCCTCCAATTTATGCGAAACAAAAAACAAATTGGAAGCGAAGTGACGGAATCAAGGTCAATTGTAACACAATCAGGCTCAACTCTGATGGGTTACTCACTGGCTACGATAAAAATAACCGCTTTCCATCAACCCGCTGCTTCGTATCGCAGACAGCATTGATTACGTGGAGACGAATGAAGTGAAAAAGAATCGCCGGAGGGGATGACTGAAAAATGAGCGCGATAATGGCGCCACCGTCGCCAACGTCTTGACCGAGTTGTTGTTTATCATTATAGCCGCCCAAAAAATAATTTCTTTTCTCTCGTTGTTTTCAAATTCTTCGCAAAAGTACGATCAAGAACAAATTCCAACAATTCACACGTTCAAGGTCTTTCGAAACGATTTTGGCAACAATTCAAGCCCCTCGGCTTGTGTCGTGATCATTTACCATCAACGTTGAGAAATGCCCGGAATGGAAAATGACCTTTTGGTGGGGTATTGTCGTATGTTGTAAACTTTTTAAACATAACAACTTCGGAACATAGTGAAATGTTTAAAGTGCATTGGGGAAGATCAGGGGTTCGGTGTAAACTTGGATAAGGCCGGGCATAAAGACCATTGAGAGAGTAACAGTTTGTCAAAAGATAACAATTTTATTACGACTAACGGTTTTGCTCCTTTGCCCAAGATTCCAAATTGTTACACTGTTCTTTCTCTTCAAGTCGAATATTTTCTCACCAAAAAACCCTATTTTCAACTCAATAGGATTTCAAAAATTTCATCATAATACTGTATTACAATGTGTTTACGCACGACCTCGATTACCGCCCGAAAATCTCGCCTCATCAATTCCGATCCGACTTCGAAAACATGGCACAAAACTGTCCGTCAAACTGATAAACCTTGTCATCAATCTCTTCAATTATCAATTAAAGAAGTCGGCGAGAACGTTTGGTTCATGAAGACGTCATAAGGCATCGTTCAGCGTTCCATCTCATCCCCTTGAATCAACTCGATCGAGCGCCATTCCGGGCATTCCAGCCAAAACAGTCTCTCATGATGAACGACTTGTTTTCGGGCCGCGAAAGCCTTGGGGCTTGTTTACCGACGCCCGCCTCGAGGGGACGATGGGGGTCGTCGATGAAGCCGAGACGGGCGACCTCTTGTTTTGCCGTGCTCTTTCGTCGTTATTTTAAGTTCAACCCACCGATTGGGCGAGAAAAAAGAAGGTAAGTGGGCAGCTTGGCGCGCGAAGAAAAAAACACTGCCCCGAACCAAATATAAAAGTCGAACGGCGGAGTGATTGGAACGCCAAACTTGACCATTCCAACATTCCACGGCTTCCAAGCGTGTCAGTATTCGGGGTGCTGAAAGAAGCCGTCTTTTCGATGCTTCGTTCCTTTCCTTTTTGTTTTTATAGCCGCGATCTCTTATTACTCATCCCTTAAACATCCCTACAGTATCCTTTTTCAGAAATTACGCTATGCAATACACAGTGTTCCTAGCAATTTTGGCTCTGGCCAACGCTATTCCTTCGCTACCTCAACCCGACAACTCGAAACCCGCATATCGACCTCTCTCCTTCTACAACATGCCCTTGATTCGAGCTCAGGGTGCTGTGATCGCCAGTGCAGAGGCTGAGAACGATGACGTCAGTGCGTTTGCCGGGTATGGTGAGCCAATTGCCACTGAAGCCGAGATTCCCAAGACAGCTGACGCTTTCCTAATCGCGTCCCCTCCACAAGTCCAACTCAACGTTCAACCCAGCGAATACAAGGCTCCGGCTCAAATTGGAGTGGCTCCGAAATTCACTGGTGGCTTCAGAACTCCCCTCAGCGAGAGTGTTCGTCAGTTCGGTGGAGGGAAGGGAGCCATCACAAATCCAGCCGCTTTCTTCATGGAAGGAGCGGATCTGGAGAAAGTGGCCAAGCCAAAATGCCAGATGATCGGCTGTGACGGACCTGTGGCCAATGATGAGGACATGAATTTGGTTCTGAAGAAGGATCTCAACGGCCCCGACTCCCAATGTCACAAGACTTTCGTTGCTATGAATGGCTGTGTTGACGGAAAGGGGTACCCTGTTGGAATGATCTGCACTATCTGCTGTGATTGTTCGGCTTCGTTAAAGCTGGAGCTGAGCAAATCGAGGGGATTCAAGGAGGGTTTCCGAACTGATTTGAACTAGATTCCTTCTATCTCTCCATTACTTTGTTATTATTTTACTTCTATGGTCTCAGGTTTCCATTTTCTGTACAGTTTTAACCAAAGATTCGCTCTCCAAAATGTAAATATTCAAAAACCCAAAAAACATCATGTACAAAGCTGTGATTGTAAATAGTTATATTGTTCATATGTAAATAGTTGTTGGCCCCCGGTAATTTTTGTATAAAGAAACGCAATAATAAATAATAAACTTGATTAAAAATACTGATTTGAAGTCATTTTAAAGCCCCAAACCCGTTAAAAACATCTTTTACACGTGTTTCCAATCAATTAATTGATTTAAATTAACTCTTTTTGCATTCAAACTATACTCAATTCGCAATACTGTTAAATTTTCAACTCTTTGGGGTCTAAATTGTGTTTTATAAATTGATAGCGTAAATGCCACGGATATTTTCGCTGAATTCCACTTGTTTCGGGGCGTTTTACAATGATAATTCGATTAAAATGGCGCCGTTCTCCATCTAATATCAATCCCCTCAGGCTTTAAAGTGTTTTTCGACAAGAAAAGAAGGTAATTACGCCTTTCGAATACATTTTTTCGGGTTCCCCCAACTCAAAACATTTAATTTTACACTTGGAAAAAGGGGTTAAACAGTTGTAAAACTCATCGAAAAAAAACCGATTCGACGAATGGAATTACAAACCAGAAAGGGAACAGTACTCGATACAGCTTTTGATAGGATGCGCAGACAAAAAAAAGAGTAATGACTTACCAAAATGGTGTTTATTACTCCGTGAAGAGAGAGAAATTGCTTTTGTGGCACGGCGAAGAGGCCGATCAGACGTTTGAAATCCTTGCTGCTTTCGGTTTCATGTTCCAGAGAAAGCTGATCCACTTGCTTCTTGATTTCGTCACTGAAATTGGGTTATCGACGGTGAATATAAAATGCAAATAGCTCAAAATTCAGAGCTCGATTTTGATAACTGTTGGAATAAAAGCCCCTGGCCCACACTTATCACCAATACCCTGCCAATCAACTTACCGCAAATTGAGATCATGGAAGCATCCCTGAGCTACAGCATCAATTCTCGCGAAATGCATCTTCAGCATCGCTTTCAAAACTGCATCAAATGTGAGATCGCATGTGGAAGACGGCATAAGATCCACAGAACCATTCACAGTCACCGAGAACAGCAACAACTCGGCGACTCTTGATAGTACAGCACTCCAATGCCACAGGGTGCCACTGACATGATTCAAGGGCTCTCTTTCGGCTAAAAACATCAAGTGTAATATGACTCATCTGTCAGAACAAAATAATAAAAACCACGACTAGTTCTTACCTTTTTCTTTGATATTCTGAGCCAATTGTGATAGTTGGCAGCTCGCTCTGACTGACAGTAAAACTCTACACAATGTCTGAACAGCGTTCTCCACTTTTTTACAGTCGGATTTCAGATATCCGACCAAAAGTTTGTTGCCCCCATCGAAGGCAGTGATATTCAATGGGCACCCCAGCTTCTCCAGACAGTCCAATCTTGATGTAACTCCATTGGAAGAGGATGAATGAGATCGGGAGAATCGACAAGCGACAACATTCGAGTTGTCTTCTGAGTTCACAATTACTGTGGAAACATCGCCTCCGGCTGTGGCATCGATCACACAAACCTTGGAACCGAGCTGGAAATAAATCTTACTCAATTTTTAGGCATTTACATTCCTCTTAAAGAAAAAAATTCATCAAAGGTTACATTATTTTACCTTGAGTAATATCGGTTCGGAGATAAACTCGGCACTGTCAATCTTCAGTTGCCCATTTTTGTTGGATCCCCATCCATAAACCTCCCCAGTACTCAGCAACGCCAAAGTGTGATCATATCCCGCACTAATTTTGATTACTGGACCCTGTGGTACCTTCACTCGCTTCGGGATACGCCTAAAGTAATAAAAATTGGTGTTCTTTGCGACAGATTTGATGTAAAATAGGCTTCCAACAAAATTTTGACGCCATAACTTACGTTGGCACAGCATTTCCAGCTCCCAATTGACCGAGATCGTTTGCTCCCCATGCCCAGACTTCACAAAAAGTATTAGCAACTTGAGGCGAGACAAAAGAATGGAAATTGTTCGATAACAATGATTGATCCAAAGTCGAAAGATCAGTTTCGGCATGTCCGACGGAACTGTCGTCTGAAACACATATTATTTAATTAAACAAAATTTTAACTGTTTTACCTGAGGATGACACCAAATTATCCAAACTGACAAAACTAAAGGCCACACTTCCATTCAGCCCAAGAGAATTCGAATTGGCCTGCTGGGAAGAGTGCCAAGTCGAGAGTTCGATTCCACCAACCCCATTTTCCGAGCTGTTATCGGTATCGGAAAAGGTTCGTGAACTGCCTGGAGGCATAGCATACCAACGCGATTGGGGACCACGAGATCTCACACTTAACTTCTTGAAGAACGGGTATTTGAAGCTGGAGAAGAACCGGTCAAGTCCTGGCTTTGATGGAGTCTGCTCTGCTGAGCTTTCGATGTCTTCTTTCTGGAAATGGTCATGGATGAAAACAATTTTAGGCAATAAAATTATCTTTATAAACCTACATTTTCGTCCTTCGCGACGTATTTCTCATCAGCAGCTTCCATAAGCGTTGATAATCTGAGATTCTCAAAGTCTCGGCATTTCTGACACTCGGTGACAACATTATTCTCGTTTTTACTCTGATTATTGGCACTAGCAAAGTCCACTAATGCCACACAATGTTTCCTAAAGACAAAATGAACTCAAAGAACACAAACCAACCTTCCTGCAACTAGCTGACGGACTTTATAAGCACATTTATTCAATTCGATCTTGGTCGCATAGATAACTTCAGTTTTGGCTTCGAATACAGATGAATTAAACGACCAAAGCTGCCCATCCTGGCATACAAAAACAGCCGAAGTCTCAGTGAGACAAACAGACTTTACTTTGAGCACCCTGTAACAATAATTATAGAGTACGAACATAAAAACTCCATAGCAACATCAAAATGAATGCCGAATGTACCTTGGAATGCCCTGAACTCCATGCTCACATGTCTGTCGAATCCCAGCATAAACAATCTTCTGCACAAGGAAATTACCGGTTGATTTCTCATAATAATAGACTTCGCCGTCCTTGGAAACGGCCAAGAAATGAGTGGGATCCCCGTATATCCGCTTGAAAACGGTCGGTGTAAAAATCTCTTCGAAACTTCCATTTTCTAGATATTTATTCTGAAATTTCTAGTCTTACACAGCCCCTTAACCCTCAATGACCAATTCCATTTCTAAACGTTCAAAACCAAAAGCAAAAACCGTACCAAAACTCCATTTTGCAAGACGTAAAAGGTGTTGTTGTAGTAAGTCGCAGATTCCAATGACAATTCCTTCTCTGATAACAAATGCACATTGTCTTTATCATCCGTCCACTCGTACCGCATACTCTAAATCAATTTATGGTAAGTTCCACAAAAATTCTTTTTATTTTCCGAAAAATACCCGAAATGTGTCAAGTGTTCCGCCTGTTGGAGAGAGACTTGACAAACTTCCAAAATTGGAGCAAAAATTTCAGGGAGCTCAAATGACGGGTGAAAGAGGTGAATTTGTGGATAAAAGGGACAGAATGATTGACGTTGGAGTCCGTTTGTTCAGTTTTTGGCAAAAGAAGTGGCAATTTTGTTCAAAAACTCCTTGGGTTTTGAAGAAATCAGGACGAAAATCTATTTTCAAAGCAGTAGCGACGTAAATCATTGACTGCTGAAAGAGCAGATTGCTTGAAAACAAAGTTACAAAAGAATCCAAGCTACTTTTATCGAAATTGTCGCGAAATGTTTTGCGGAGGTTGACTCATCTTGTTGATGGCTCGGATTGAAGTCGGACACATGGTTTGAACCAGTTTATTTGTTCATAAAATACAAAAAGGGGACTTTTTACAAACTTTCACCGGGATTTGAGTTCAAAATAACATTGTCTGAGTCTAGTACAATATAAATTTGAAATAACATCGCAGTGACATGAAACCCGTTGATGAATGAGAATATTTTGTTGAGTTAGACCATTTCGAGGTCCGAGATGCTGGTGGGTTTGACTGTGTGGACCTTGCCGTTCTGTAGGCGAATCATCCAGGGGCGTCGGAACCTGGCGTCGGGATCGTTCTCTACTCCCAAAAGGCCCTGCGTATCCTCTTCGATATTGAAGAATCGACCTGAAACTACTGTTTTAGAAAATTTGAAGCGTTTCTTAATTCAGAAACACCCTAACCCCTTGTAGTTTCTGATTAACTTCTGCCTTGTATAATATAAATTCCCCTCACAAAATTCGAAATTTTTCTGCTGAGATTGTTTGCTTACACGAACTCTAAAGAATGGTGATTTAATTACTGTTTAGGCATTTTAGATTTTGGTTTGTTTTTCCGCAGGGGCGTTATTTAATTTACGACGGCTCTTTATTTTCCGCGAGGTCGTGACGCGATAAAGTTGTTATAATAGATAAATTGTTTATCACTGTCTTGGTTTAACAGGTCCAAAAAGGCTAAAAACTCGTTGTAGGGGGTCGGTTTCATTAGCCTTGTTTATCAATACTAAAAGTATAGTAGAACTCTAATTGCCAACGAAAAAAGATGATTGGTCTTGACAAACATTACAGGCTAATGAGAAAAACAAGGATCAAAAGGGAAATGGCGTAGAGCTCGCGGCGAAAAGAAACATGCTTTCGAAGTTTGAGATGACAAAATTATTAGGGAAGTCTTTCAAGTGGGGCATTCATATTTTCTTGAAAGGATATGGGTTCTTAAATAGTCTTAAATTATTCCTTGAAGGTTTGAGCCTTTTCAGAGGATACCGAGATTGTCAACGGTCTTCTTTCTATAAATTATTTGTGGCTAGTTCAGAACCTATGTGCAAAATATGTAAGAAAATCTGAATGCCATGTCTGAAGACTTCCTTCATTACTACTGCTATCAAAAAAAAGGGGTTTTTATAGCCAACTTACCGATAGTCCACCAACAATCAAAGGTCAATGAGAGTACCAATAAGAACAGAAATACGACCATAATCACCAATAACAACGCCACGCCGATGACGCAACTCAAGGCGATGTTGCTGATGATCTCCTTCCAAATCATGGCCAATCTTTGGACATTAAATGGCCTGAAAACACTTAATGGGCCACGGAATAAAAGGGGGTACGCGTTTAATTTCAAAATGCAAAAATTAATTTTTTCTTCACGGAATGCCGCGGACAAAGACGGAAGGGAAAGGAGAGTGGCGGCACAAAATTACTTTTATACCATTTGAACTCAAAGTGGACCGTATTTTTAGCTGATTCCCGGAATAGCACATCACGGATTAAATAAAAAGTGCGAATTTGGGCAGAAATTTGGCAAAATATTCATTGTTTTGCTGTCTTATCGTGCTATTGATGATTATAGGTCAGATATAGCAGCTAAGCACGCGATACACACAGATGGAGCCAAGCCGAATACATTTTTTTGTCTTCAATTTTCTGCCTTCCCATTTACCACCCGACAATTACTCTAATCAGAATTTTCCTGCACGAGCGCTGTATCATCAGACGTCGGAATAATTAAAGTTCTTGATGTCTTGCTAATAGACACCCCTTTAAAATGGTTAACGTTTTTGAAGGGAGAACATGAATAGTACAAGTTTTTTATACATCTGGCCGTAAAAAGGGAAACGGAGTGCTGAGAGTTGTAGAATTATGTGCAAAGTTAATGAGAGAGTTGGCAAGGTTTTTGCAAGATCGTTATAGTTTTATTAATAAAGTAAAAAAGTGTAAATTTTGAGAAAAATTCGAAAAACTACATTTTTATTTTCCCCAAAAATACATTTGATATTCGAAAAACAAATATAAGAGTTTTTGCAAGTCCCCAGGCCTGGCCATATGACATACATTCAAGTTCATCCTCTTGTTTTTCCCATTGTAAATGCCAATATTATCCGCAACTACAGTAATCAAGAATAGAATAAAAAATTTTTTACTATAATTTGGGGCAAGTCAATCTCAGTTTCTTTGTTTTGAAACAAGCCCTAAGGCATCGCCCGCAATCCAACTTTCCACCAAATTTGGCTTCGGCCTTGAGGCTGACATTTACACGCCCATAAGCTTAAAGAATTGGTTAAATCATGTGAAAAAAAGCTCTAAGGCAGAAAAAAACTAATCACGAGTTATGTGTCTGGGCTAGCCGTAAGGTCAAGCCTAAGACAATTGAATCGGCCTTGTTGACAACAAACTTGAGATTAATGAAGCTCAGGTCAATAACAGGTTCGATGAGAGGATCAGGTCAATCATAGGCGATAGATAAAGTGCTCAATGTCCTGTTTTTGGACGCATGCTCAGTTTAAGGTACCTCTCAGCACCTGCGAGTTTTTTTGCAAAGTCAGCCGAGGTATTCAACAAACATTTGGAAGAGAGAATATGGAAACTAAAGATACGGACAGAGGAAAGATGTTTTTCTCATTTCTTTCGAAGAACCACTGGAAAAGCTGGGCCCCGAAAATGTCAGCCTTAATATCTCAGGAAGCACCAATTTTAATCTACCCCTTATTTCATCAAAATCTATCCTTCCAACTTCGAGCACCTTCTCAGTGAATCTAAACTCGTGCGTTCTAATCTTCAATAACAATATTCCATCTAAATATATGTGGTTTAAGTGAAAATTGGGGACCGGAAAGAATCGTCGCCGGCTCTTAATTACGTCTGGAAATCATAGAGTAAAGGAGCTCCCAAAAAACATCGGGCCTGGGGTCTATTTTTAAGTGTTTTATCTCGGAAAGTAATTGTCCCAATAAAGGCAATTCCAAGTTTGGCCCATTTCATGGCTCGTAAACCGCGAGGACTGTGTTTGCGATGGCTTATCGAAGGGTCACGACGTCCTAGTTAGCTGGAACTGCGGGTCGTATGCGTGGGAAAAAGTTACAAAGCGAAAAAAGACGACTTCTTGAAATTATTTTCTAATTTTGCGATAACTCATAAAAAATTTGAGTTATCCCAGGAGATACGAATAAAAATCCAGTCTAGCTACTAAAATAAACAGAAAATCACTTGTTTACGCGAGCGTTTTCATTACGGATGTTGTTCTGAAGGTCTAAGTGCCAGCAGACTACTTTTAACGATATGGGGAAAAATTCGAATCGGCTGGGTTTCAACACGCAACTGTCGTACGCACTTTTCTTGTCAGGAATAAACTGCTAGGATGCAAAACTAACACACAGTTTAAGGTAGGAGTTTCAGGAAGTGTAAAGAGTAGAGTTGCTCGATTTGGACAGACATGAAGCCAGATGAACAAAGTTTGCAAGAGAGAAAATATAATATAGTTATACATGGTTTATGAACCTTGATCTTTGCAAGCAGTCTATTTAGGATAGAAAAGCTGAAGAAATGAGGGAACGGCGGGCTTTATTCGCATTATTTGCGTCTTAATTTTTTAAGGAGGGTTCTCATGCCCAAGAAAAGAGATCCAAAAAAAATTAATACTATTTGATGGTCAAGTTATCGAGAAAGTTTAGAAAACTTTTAAGACTTATCCTTCTCTAATTACAGTCATTAAAAATACTGTAAATACGATGATGCTGCATTGTTTACTCCCCCTTTCAGCCCACCCACCACATAATCTCTCCCTCCACAATGGTCTCAGTGAACTGATTTTCGTTTTTTGCACCGCCCTCCAAAGATAATCCCCATACCCCTTCCGGCGCTTCCCACGAAAAACCCCCCAGAAAAGGCCGGAAAGCCAAGAATTTGGAGCGGACTTAAACACAAAAAACATTGAAACGTTCTAAAATTCAAGAGTATTTCGAGTGCTTAATCTTCAGAAGTTTACAAAAAAACCGGAGCCCTTAAAGTGCCGGGATCCGATTTCGCAGCCTTAGGCCATGGTTGATTAAATAAGCGGTCGGGTGGAAATATTTGCCCGAAAAATGGGGCTAATTAATCGAGACGGAAACAGGGATTAAAAGGACCGAAATAATGGCTGTTTTGGTATCAGACATCAGCCGGAAAGGGTAAGCCTTTGGCATACGAAAGAACAGTAAGTGCAGTTTGGATTACGCAAATTCAAATGGTTACCAGAAAGGGGAGGAACAATGTTTGCAGGGGAATACTCGTGTTATGACGGTTCGATTTGGGCAAAATTTGAAAACCAAGATAAAAGGAAGTCGCAAAATGTCTATTGCTCTAACTTCATGATTTAGAAAAACTTTTGGTTTCTTTTAAGCAGATTCACAATCAACCGGAATATATTATTATACATCTTGCCATTAAAAGTATGGATGATTTTTGCAAAACGCAAGCAAAACGGTATCATCAATGTCTGAACACCGCACTTGGGAACTTTCCTCATAAGTGAGAAAAGGGTTTCTCCACCTGCAAAGGTTATAAGGAAATGGCCGAAAGCATTTTGCTGATGACTCAAAGACAATGTTTACATAGGAAGTGGAGCATCTGGTTCGACTTTTGAAGACTACTTTTTAGCACTATGTGGCAAAATGAACAAGCGCAGTCTATGGCAATATTAGCCAAGAGTTCTTGGGACCCTCATCTCCAACGCCTTTCATTTCATTAGTTGCCATAGCGAGCGGAGACTGTAAAAGAAATTTGTTTTTCTGCAAAAGTTGCGTTTTTTGTAGTTTTATAATTATTTTCCCTGCGGGATCTTACTAAAATACAAAAGATTTTGAATTGGCTAGTGAATTTATAATTTAAGGAAAAGTGTTTTCATTTGTCCTGGCTACATGCACTAGCTTGGCAATATCTCTTGAGCTCATGGTGCGTAATGTAGAATACATTGTACAAATCTGCACAGCATTCACAATCGATTGGAAATACATCAAACATTACGCCTAAGAGTGCTCTCAAATTTCTCAAAGACTCTACAGTTCGTATACCCCACAAAGAATCAAATTATGTAATAGAAGACGTGGCCAAGGAAAGAACGAATGCTCAATTTAATGGTATTTAGAGTGGATTCTTGCTTGACAGGACTCTGACAGATATTTTTTTCTTTTCTGGGTAGGTTTATATACATGTGTATGTATACGTGGTTTTTTGAATTCTGACGGAGTTCTTGGATATTCTACTGTAATTTGATTTTCGCAAGTTTTTGCGGGGGCAAAAACACCTCGTCATTTGTAAAGAAAACGCTACAATTTCTAATGTGACGGACATTTTTTCTTCGAAGGTTTGGTTCTAATTGGTCTCGAAAACGTCAAACAAACCCTAAAAAATCTCTTGTTTTGGCACTAACTAAAGAAATATTCAATGAACATTTTTCTCGTGTGTGGTCCTCTCAACTCTATCAGTGTGTCGGGAAAATAGTAAGCACTCTGTCTCGTCGAAGATCGCCGCCGAGAAATGAATTGTGTCGTGACCAAATGAAACTCAAATTGCTTTTCACATTAGCGACGCGATTCACGCAGCCACGTGGCGCTAACTAATTATTATATAATATTTTTCCGGCGGACTGATATGAAGAATGAGATGAAAGGGTCAGAGAAAAAGTCATCCTCTTCTGCCAATCCTTGTCCATTTTCCCCGAAGAAATTAATTCAAATTGCGGAAAGTTCCCCAAACCTTGCACATCGTGTTTTCTATTATAAAATCCCAGAAATACGACAAAGAAACGCAGCCAAGACGTAGCTTAAAATGATTTATTTTTACAGCCAATTGAAATCGTCTCCAACGTAAATTTATGCTGCCATCTCCTGTAAACAGACTTATTTCCCCTCTAACTCGATCTCCGCAACAACAAACGCCCTGCGAACACTGTATTAGATCAAAATGCTCGGAAATGAGCTGAATGGGAAAACGTTGTAAAGTAATTTCTGGGCACTGTCGAAACCCCGCCGAAACTTGATTTCCGGTCCGCGCTTGTGTCCTAGCCGTTTTTGTGTCGCGGGAAAAGAGAGATGGGGATTTGACGCCCTACTCGAACTTGGGAATATTCTATCCGCGCCCCTCCTTGACATTTCATAAATCTTTCATTCGTTTCCCGTTTTGGACAGTAATCTCTGCAAACAGTTTTCCAGATATTATGATACTTTTCCCGGAATTTTATATTAACACAGCTTTAGCCGTGCCAACTGTAATCTCAAAACCCCGAAAAATTACTTTTTTGTTCATAGATTCTACAAGGAAGCAATACCAAACCTGAAGAGGTTGACGGATTCCCTGAAAATCTACTGCGTTTGCTATGAGCCCAGGATGTGTAGAGGCTTCAAAGGGCATATTCTATTGATATAAATATATATAGGTCATATAAAGCCATAAAAATTTACAAGGCAAAATGGAGCTAAAACAAAGCTTATTCTTATCGTAGAGCGCCAGATTTTCTTTAAAATAGAAAACGAGAAATTCCTTGTGCAGATTTTTTGAAACTTGCGTAAGGCGAGATTGGAATTTTCCGTGATATACATATACGAGATTTTTCTTCACAATTTGAAGAAGACCACGATAAGATTAAGGTCGATAAATTCAAGACTAAAAATTCCCAGTTTCAGCGCTGACGATAAATTTATTGTGTAACAAAATCAGGAGACTATCAGGGTTGTATTTTTCCTTGTAAAAAAGCTGTAAAAAATTCCCATCTAACCAAATGTTTCATCAAATATTTCCCTCAAATGGCCTCTTTTAGAGGCATTTTGCATGACTTTTTCATCCGAATTATTGACAACCGGAAGCCCCGCGCACAACGAAAAAATAACGAAATTCTTTATGTCGCCGCATAACATTCCCGAGGATTAGGGCCCTGCAAAGTGAAAGGTCGAGACAGATAAGAAAGGAATAAACATTCCCCTTTACATCTTCAGAGTACATATTACATCGGAGGGAATTAGAGGAACTTATTGAGGAATTGGCCTAAGGAATTGCCTAAGGAGATTGCGTCAGAAAAGAATTGTTCTGACAGTTCATAATAGAGGGGTTAAATGGGGAAGTGGACGGTAATGAAAGTGGTAGTAATCGTTAGATGATCGGTTATTTCAGATCTAAAAATTCTCGGGTTTGATGATGAAATTGGAGGAGAAAGAAGAGGATGATAATCGGGTTATATACTAGTGGTGTTTGGTGTCTTTATTGATACCCTCAAATGTGAGATGCACAAGTTTTGGAACATGACAAAGTAGTAGAGGGTAAAATGTCCCAATAAGTTTTTTTGCCAAGATGGACGTTAAGTAGGAACAATAAATCCTCAGTTTTTGAAACCGCAAATATTTTTGTCCCTGAGTTTTTTAAATATACGCGGTGTCTGCCTTTCCTTTTATTTTATGGTAAATGAACTTATTATTTGTAATAAATATACTTCAGCTTCAATGTCAATCGTCTGATGTATGTCAAATTTCCAGTGGAAGCCGCCTTGGCAGTGATCGTATTCCTCGTCTCGACCATTCTCATCTGCTGCATTGTCTCTTATTTAAACCAAATAAAACAGATCTTCCGCCTGCTGATGCCCTCCGAAACCAAGGGTCATTACCAAGATCCGAGTACAATCCATGCTTACGTTGTAAATCGAAGCCATGTCTGCAGTGATTTGAGCAAATGTAGACGACATTCAGCGCCAGTTTGGAGAAGGTCCACCACTTTGGAGAGCATTTTCAACTTAAATCCTAGGATTATGTATTCAGAAGAGGAGCTGAGTGATCGGGACGACGATCAGTACGAGGGAGAAGGGTATGATATGGTTGACCTTAGGCCGAACAAGGATGTGTGCTATGTGAGCGTTGTATAAATTTCATATTATTGTATGCATATAGCAATGGGAAGTGATCAAGGTGCGATGGTCAATGTTTTGATGAAGATTAAAACAAATTGGGGATAGCATTTTCCGAGACACAAATGTGTAATATATATCATCAACAGTTTTAGCTCACGATTCGCTGATTATGCAAGATTTTTTTATTGAGAACCCCGGAAAAATATTTTTTCTCAGCCCGAGTCTCCTGTATTCTCGTTGCCAGGAAAAAAAGAAATCACCTGCAGTTTCAGTCTCAGGTCAGCAAACATTTTTCATTACCAATGTTCGCCATCGGATGCACCTACTGTATATAAGCGTGCACTAAAATTTTGTGGAACTGATATTAATGGTAAATTTTAAGATTAAAAAATCAACATTTCGCTCAAAATGTTGTGAGGGTCGCACTTCGACACCTTCCTAATTTGGCCTCTCTCATAACTTGATGAGAACAAATACTTTCAAATATATGGTATTACATATAAGTTTCAGCTTTGTTTTTTATTTTTTTTTCACTCTTCGTCTACTACAATGTAATTATTAAGAGTTCTAGAGAATAAATCGATAATATATTAATAAATGACACTGATAAAATTACTGTAGACTATTGAAAACAAACCTTAGATAATAAGTAAAACAACTTCAGCATAAAATTGAAATCTTTGGAATAATAAATAAAATGAATGTCATGATAGTTCAAAGCGCAGTAAAAACAGTTTTCTCTACGGCTGCAGGAAGGCGAAACAAGTGATCCGCCCTCGCGACGCCTCGCAGAAAATCTTGGAGCTGACCACCGTGTAACTGAACTTATTCCGCGAACATATCACATCAATTGTTTGGCCGAAGGCAAGCCGGCCGGCACTGAAAATCAGCTGTTTGGAGATGGTGGGGCTGGAGACAATGTTCTGAAACAAAACGAGTTTTTTTAAAAACGTATCATGAAATTACCTCATGCATGATCAGCCTGAGTGTCTCACTGCTGCACTTTGGATCTCCCGTTGCATCAGGATCCGTGGCCATTGGATCACTCGGAACGCCAGATATCTTCGTTTTGAAAGAATTTTCAGAGTAGTCAGGGCTTAGTAACTGAAAAAGAAGGCATTTATAATAGACAAGCTTTCAGACTGTCTCGATCCACAAAAGCTAAGCTTACATCTGGCTTGGTCTCTTTTTTGCCACCAGTCGAATTAGGCTCCGTGTCGTCAATATCCGGAACTTTATCTTCATAAAAATCTTCTGATGTTTGCTGGAACAGAAGCAAAGTTAAAAGCTTTGTTAGACGTATTTTACATTTAAAAAATTTCGCAAATAAACTTACAGTAGTAGTGACAACCTTTGCAACTTTATCGCCAATATTGTCAATAGAAGTTATATCATTCCCACTTTTTTCTTTGTCAACCTAAAACACCAACAAAATTAGTTCTTATGAATATTGAAAACGGTGACAAAGTTAAGTGTTCAGTATTTGAAAAAAAGGCACTTACATTATCACTGGCATAACTATTGTAATTAGTAGTAGTATGGCTGGTGTAAGTCGGCTGAGTATAAGGTTGAGGTGGATTGGGAGGGGGTGGAGGTGGTGGGGGAGGTTGCGAGTGCTCTGGAGGATCGGGATTCCGATATTCGTAGCCACTCTGAAAGAAGAAGGTGAAAATTATTTATCTCAAAAGAAATGTCATCATTTTTATCTCTTATTCAAAAATTTGATTAAGTTTCCCTTTTCTGTTTTTGTGACCTTACTGGTTCATTGCTCGGAATGGCTGTATTAACATAACTGACACTTTGATCGGGCGAGACCTGTGGTGGTTGCGCGGGAGCCACCGGAGTTTGAACTTGCGTGGGACTAGGTGCTTGAACAAATGGCGGAGTTTGTTGAGCCGGCTGGACGAAGGCTTGGCTTTGGTACTGCTGCTGAGGTAAAGGCGCCAGTCCAGGAGGCAATCCTGGATTGGCCAGACCTCCTCCACAGCCTGAAGTGCCTCCCAATCCACCAATATTCCCGTAAGATTGAGAACAACCAGTCGATATTCCCTGCTGACATCCGCCAAGCCCGCCAAGCCCGCCGAATCCCCCTCCACATCCTGAATTACAGCCGATTTGTTGTCCCAGTCCATAACTCTGTTGTTGATAGCATGGTTGTTGAAAACCTCCACCAAATCCCCCTCCACATCCACCGCCACAGATTTGAGGGCCTCCACAACCACAGCCTCCGCCGCCTCCGCCACCCAAACCACCGCCAAGTGGGGGAAAGAAGAAGGTGGAGACCGATTTGAAGGACAACAGGAGTGAGAGGAGATAGGCCAGGAACTTGCGCGAATAGATCTGGCGCATCTGCAAGATTTACAGATATTTTAAGAGGTTTTTTGCATAAAAAATATTGCAGTAGATCGATTTATGAAAAAATCACGGAAAACAGAGGAGAAAATGTCGGAACTTTTATTAAACAGGCATCCAAAGAAATTTCCGAATGTCATCCGCCAATATCCTCACAAAGTCATCAAATATCATCAAGACAAATCCAATAAAACTCAAAAAAAAAATCCATTTTCAATTAAAAAATCGTCTAAAATTTTCATAACAATTACTAAAAATATTTCCAAGCAGCCTTCTATTTATAAACCCGACAAATTATTTCTTTTATTCCAAATTAAACCCCCAGGAAATCGCAAATTGACCTCGCGATTTATGGCTACTTTTGTAAATGCAATTATTCGAAAGTAATCTCACTTTTTTCGTTGCTCTCCACCAGTTCGGCGATTGGAAAAAAAGTGAAAAGTTTATGAAAAAAGTTTTCATACAAAATAAATCCAGTCGGCAGAATAATACGAAGCATCTTTCAAGGTAAAGGGCACGGCAATTACGGAAAATAAATTGATTTTTTGACTGCCACAGGGGATTTTGAGGAAGTAAAGGGCGTATATTTACAATATGCGTAAAACGGGGGTACATTGAAAGCATGTTTCTTTAAAAAATTATGAAAATTAAAGTTTATGCTAACAAAAATTTCCCAGTAACTTTAAACGATCAAAAAATTTGAATAAATTTACATAATCAGCGAGCCAAAAGTGCAGAATTAGGTTAAGCCCTATTTTCTGAACTCCATTTTGTCTACTACAAGTAGTACATTACAAAACAAATAATGAAGAATAAACTACAGAATCGCCGACGAGAGAAAATTTATTCTCTTGGTTATCTAATAATGCGCAAAAAAGGGTTCAAAACAAGTTGGCGAATAACCATGCTGTTTTCATTGGCTTGTAATGGCAGCCAATAAAAGGATTACAAAATAAAACCTTTAGAATAGAAGCAGTTCAGAGCTTTATGGAGAAATTGAAAATGGAAAAAAGGAGGCTAAAAATTGAAAATGGAAAAAAAGGAGGTTAAAAAAGGAGAAAAAAGATAACAACGTTTAACTAGACATGTTGCGATTACTGTTTTCGGATGTTAGATTCTTTGCAGTTTAAACATAGGAACTGTCAAGAAATAAAGCTTGTAATTATCCGAAAAAATCATTTTACATCTTGAAATCGCGTTGAATAAATCGGATAAAACAAAGCAAAGGCTAAGACTCGTATGGATTCCTGAATAACACAGGGACTTTCTACGCAAAACTGAACGGAAATCTGAGATTATGTATATATGACCCCAGCCTGGCTTTTAATCATCATATGCAAATTTCTGATTCATTAAAAAAGAATGGCCTTAATTTACCAACAAAAGAGTAAGCCCCTATGGCTACCCACAACTCTATCAACACCTACAGACCGACGTTCAAACTTTAAGAATCACCGCTCCAAAGCCGTTCCGGTTTCCAATCAAAAGGTTAAAATCCCTGAAATCTCGAAACCCCAGAGAAAAAAACCTGGGTAAACAAAATGCCCGGGCGAGGAAAATGGAGCATACGAAAGTGCAAACGAGTTTCTTTTTCTTGATGAGAATACCGATCACGATTTCACGCAATCGTCTTTGAGACTCGAAAGTGTGAAACCATCAACGAAAGTGCCCCGAGGGTACCCCCGGAGAAGAGCAGGAGAGTGCCGGAATCTGAATTCGGCGCGCTCAGAGGGGGAGAAACCCGCACTTGACCGACTAAATAAACAATGACATTACATCTCCATCCATAATGTCCGACGAGTCGATATTTTCGATTTCGAAAAGTTGAAAGTGAATCAGAATGAGGATGATATTGTTGAAGAGATTCAAACAATTGTAATCTAACATGGCGGGATTCACCTTTTAAATTTTTAATAACTACAAGCCATTTTTAACTCGAGCTCTTCAGCGTTTTTTCAAATTACATAATCCTAGCCTTGAAAGGACAGCACCAGCTTCAACGCCTCAACAATCATGACTTTAACCATTTTCTTAATTGCTCTTGCTCTGCTTAGGTTTTCCTGACATTACTATCAATGCGATACACACCGTATTTTACCCCTTTATCCATTTTTGTCAAATTTGTCTCTCATTCACGTGCTATCACTTCTGTACGTTCAGCCCCTTCATTTCAAAATCCAAGGCAGAATTTTCTCTTTCAAAATCAAAAATCAGCATTTTGCAAGTGCCCTTTCATTTTTCTGCCTCTAAAACCCCTGAAGAACAGAAAAATTTGCGCAATTCAAATTTTTGGACGCCCGCGGAAATCTGCGAGGAAGTTTCCCAAGTTCTGCAGTGGTTCCGGTCTTGATACCGCTTGCGTAATCTATCTGAAAACTTTGATTCTACAGAAAAAAAGGTGTGAAATTTGATTGGCACGGAAGAAGGAGGAGGTTTACTATCAGTCAGGTTGCTGAGGAAGCCAGTGGTTAGTCGGACCGGAGATTTTGAGAATATTTTTTACTACGAACAAGGGATGTCATCCACAAACTTTGATGCCGTTCAGAACGAGGCTGATCTTGCTGAAGCCAGAGTAAGTTGAAATCGTTTTTTGAGATTTCGTAGGCATTTAAAAGACTTTCAAGGCATGATCCCCTTTAAAATAAGTCTGAAGATACAGATCATTGGTTTTGAGATATTGTATTGAATATTGCACAAAATGATGATAATTCGTATTTTCAGCGTCTCCGAAAAGTCCGGCTCGAAGCAGCCCGTCGTGAAAGATTCACCAGCCTCATAAACAACATGAGAACACTCCTGATGGAAGCACGCCCTCAGGGTTACAACGCCAAGATGGAACAGTTGGATATTCTTCAGCTATTCCGAAGCCAATGCGAACAGAAGGTTAGAGAATTGGAGGTGCTAAGAGAGCGTAAGTGATCTTTGAAATTGTTTGTAAAATACGATGATTGTATAATTTTTTCGTCTGTTTAGGAAATGTAATGCTCAAGGCTGAAATCAAAGTTCGTCGTATCACAGAGAACGCTGCTTCCAGAAAACGAAAGCTCTCGGAAGAAGACAGTGGCCGTTTTTCGACGGAATCTACACCAAGCAAGAACCCAAAAATGGAAGAGCCAAAGAAGTCGACAAATTTCTCAATTGATTCTTTGTTACAATAAGCTAATTTTTATTATTGTTCATCGCTAATATCTGGTTTATTACTTCTCCTAGGTGAATTTGCTTTTTCTTTCCTTTTTTGAATACTGTAAATAAATTTTTTTTCAATAAAATCGGTCAAAATGTTGTCTATGTATTTTTACTGTATTCCAAGTTTATACAAATAAAAGAACAATGTAATAAGTGCGTAGAAAACAATATGTACATAATAGACATTTCGACTGACAACTTTGCAAAATAAAATTATTAAAATTCTTTCAACAGTGTTTACAACTCTTCGGACAGAGCGCTCTCCTCTGTTCCACAGTGTACTTTTCATGCACACAGAACCCTTTCGACACCCAAATTGCACATTTTGGATGCCGGTCTTCACAGCTTTTGCTGTTGTGAGCTGCGGCGTTGATGATTACTGAAGCCGGCACAAGAACAGCAGCCGTTCCATTATTCTGTGATGTTTCGAACGGTATTGATCACGTCAGTTCACTCCGACATCTCTAATTTACTTTATTTTTTATTAGTGCCTAGTGTAATATCAGAGTGTTCGGCATGGTACGGGCGTAATTTGGCTCCAAAAATGGTGAAACCTGGGGTTTTGAAATTTCATTCTGTAATGTTTCGAATGGTACAGGTCACGTCAGTTCACTCCGACATCTCTAATTCACTTTATTTTTTATTTGTGCCTAGTGTAATATCAGAGTGTTCGGCTTGGTACGGGCGTAATTTGGCTCCAAAAATGGTGAAACTTGGGGTTTTGAAATTTCATTCTGTAATGTTTCGAATGGTACAGCTCACGTCAGTTCACTCCGACATCTCTAATTCACTTTATTTTTTATTAGTGCCTAGTGTAATATCAGAGTGTTCGGCATGGTACGGGCGCAATTTGGCTCCAAAAATGGTGAAACTTGGGGTTTTGAAATTTCATTCTGCAGTGTTTCGAATGGTGTAGGTCACGTCAGTTCACTCCGACATCTCTAATTCACTTTATTTTTTATTAGTGCCTAGTGTAATATCAGAGTGTTCGGCTTGGTACGGGCGTAATTTGGCTCCAAAAAAGGTGAAACTTGGGGTTTTGAAATTACATTCTGTAATGTTTCGAATGGTGTAGGTCACGTCAGTTCACTCCGACATCTCTAATTCACTTTATTTTTTATTAGTGCCTAGTGTAATATCAGAGTGTTCGGCTTGGTACGGGCGTAATTTGGCTCCAAAAATGGTGAAACTTGGGGTTTTGAAATTTCATTCTGTAATGTTTCGAATGGTGTAGGTCACGTCAGTTCACTCCGACATCTCTAATTCACTTTATTTTTTATTAGTGCCTAGTGTAATATCAGAGTGTTCGGCTTGGTACGGGCGTAATTTGGCTCCAAAAATGGTGAAACTTGGGGTTTTAAAATTTCATTCTGTAATGTTTCGAATGGTGTAGGTCACGTCAGTTCACTCTGACATCTCTAATTCACTTTATTTTTTATTAGTGCCTAGTGTAATATCAGAGTGTTCGGCTTGGTACGGGCGTAATTTGGCTCCAAAAATGGTGAAACTTGGGGTTTTGAAATTCCATTCTGTAGTGTTTCGAGTGGTGTAGGTCACGTTAGTTCACTCCGACATCTCTAATTCACTTTATTTTTTATTAGTGCCTAGTGTAATATCAGAGTGTTCGGCTTGGTACGGGCGTAATTTGGCTCCAAAAATGGTGAAACTTGCAGTTTTGAAATTTCATTCTGTAGTGTTTCGAATGGTGTAGGTCACGTCAGTTCACTCTGACATCTCTAATTCACTTTATTTTTTATTAGTGCCTAGTGTAATATCAGAGTGTTCGGCTTGGTACGGGCGTAATTTGGCTCCAAAAATGGTGAAACTTGGGGTTTTAAAATTTCATTCTGTAATGTTTCGAATGGTGTAGGTCACGTCAGTTCACTCTGACATCTCTAATTCACTTTATTCTTTATTAGTGCCTAGTGTAATATCAGAGTGTTCGGCTTGGTACGGGCGTAATTTGGCTCCAAAAATGGTGAAACTTGGGGTTTTGAAATTTCATTCTGTAGTGTTTCAAATGGTGTAGGTCACGTCAGTTCACTCCGACATCTCTAATTCACTTTATTTTTTATTAGTGCCTAGTGTAATATCAGAGTGTTCGGCTTGGTACGGGCGTAATTTGGCTCCAAAAATGGTGAAACTTGGGGTTTTGAAATTTCATTCTGTAATGTTTCGAATGGTGTAGGTCACGTCAGTTCACTCCGACATCTCTAATTCACTTTATTTTTTATTAGTGCCTAGTGTAATATCAGAGTTTTCGGCTTGGTACGGGCGTAATTTGGCTCCAAAAATGGTGAAACTAGGGGTTTTGAAATTTCATTCTGTAATGTTTCGAATGGTGTAGGTCACGTCAGTTCACTCCGACATCTCTAATTCACTTTATTTTTTATTAGTGCCTAGTGTAATATCAGAGTGTTCGGCTTGGTACGGGCGTAATTTGGCTCCAAAAATGGTGAAACTTGCAGTTTTGAAATTTCATTCTGTAATGTTTCGAATGGTGTAGGTCACGTCAGTTCATTCCGACATCTCTAATTCACTTTATTTTTTATTAGTGCCTAGTGTAATATCAGAGTGTTCGGCATGGTACGGGCGCAATTTGGCTCCAAAAATGGTGAAACTTGGGGTTTTGAAATTTCATTCTGTAATGTTTCGAATGGTGTAGGTCACGTCAGTTCACTCCGACATCTCTAATTCACTTTATTTTTTATTAGTGCCTAGTGTAATATCAGAGTGTTCGGCTTGGTACGGGCGTAATTTGGCTCCAAAAATGGTGAAACTTGGGGTTTTGAAATTTCATTCTGTAGTGTTTCGAATGGTGTAGGTCACGTCAGTTCACTCCGACATCTCTAATTCACTTTATTTTTTATTAGTGCCTAGTGTAATATCAGAGTGTTCGGCTTGGTACGGGCGTAATTTGGCTCCAAAAATGGTGAAACTTGGGGTTTTGAAATTTCATTCTGTATTGTTTCAAATGGTGTAGGTCACGTCAGTTCACTCCGACATCTCTAATTCACTTTATTTTTTATTAGTGCCTAGTGTAATATCAGAGTGTTCGGCTTGGTACGGGCGTAATTTGGCTCCAAAAATGGTGAAACTTGGGGTTTTGAAATTTCATTCTGTAATGTTTCGAATGGTGTAGGTCACGTCAGTTCACTCCGACATCTCTAATTCACTTTATTTTTTATTAGTGCCTAGTGTAATATCAGAGTTTTCGGCTTGGTACGGGCGTAATTTGGCTCCAAAAATGGTGAAACTAGGGGTTTTGAAATTTCATTCTGTAATGTTTCGAATGGTGTAGGTCACGTCAGTTCACTCCGACATCTCTAATTCACTTTATTTTTTATTAGTGCCTAGTGTAATATCAGAGTGTTCGGCTTGGTACGGGCGTAATTTGGCTCCAAAAATGGTGAAACTTGCAGTTTTGAAATTTCATTCTGTAATGTTTCGAATGGTGTAGGTCACGTCAGTTCATTCCGACATCTCTAATTCACTTTATTTTTTATTAGTGCCTAGTGTAATATCAGAGTGTTCGGCACGGTACGGGCGCAATTTGGCTCCAAAAATGGTGAAACTTGGGGTTTTAAAATTTCATTCTGTAATGTTTCGAATGGTGTAGGTCACGTCAGTTCACTCCGACATCTCTAATTCACTTTATTTTTTATTAGTGCCTAGTGTAATATCAGAGTGTTCGGCTTGGTACGGGCGTAATTTGGCTCCAAAAATGGTGAAACTTGCAGTTTTGAAATTTCATTCTGTAATGTTTCGAATGGTGTAGGTCACGTCAGTTCATTCCGACATCTCTAATTCACTTTATTTTTTATTAGTGCCTAGTGTAATATCAGAGTGTCCGGCTTGGTACGGGCGTAATTTGGCTCCAAAAATGGTGAAACTTGGGGTTTTAAAATTTCATTCTGTAATGTTTCGAATGGTGTAGGTCACGTCAGTTCACTCTGACATCTCTAATTCACTTTATTCTTTATTAGTGCCTAGTGTAATATCAGAGTGTTCGGCTTGGTACGGGCGTAATTTGGCTCCAAAAATGGTGAAACTTGGGGTTTTGAAATTTCATTCTGTAGTGTTTCAAATGGTGTAGGTCACGTCAGTTCACTCCGACATCTCTAATTCACTTTATTTTTTATTAGTGCCTAGTGTAATATCAGAGTGTTCGGCTTGGTACGGGCGTAATTTGGCTCCAAAAATGGTGAAACTTGGGGTTTTGAAATTTCATTCTGTAATGTTTCGAATGGTGTAGGTCACGTCAGTTCACTCCGACATCTCTAATTCACTTTATTTTTTATTAGTGCCTAGTGTAATATCAGAGTTTTCGGCTTGGTACGGGCGTAATTTGGCTCCAAAAATGGTGAAACTAGGGGTTTTGAAATTTCATTCTGTAATGTTTCGAATGGTGTAGGTCACGTCAGTTCACTCCGACATCTCTAATTCACTTTATTTTTTATTAGTGCCTAGTGTAATATCAGAGTGTTCGGCTTGGTACGGGCGTAATTTGGCTCCAAAAATGGTGAAACTTGCAGTTTTGAAATTTCATTCTGTAATGTTTCGAATGGTGTAGGTCACGTCAGTTCATTCCGACATCTCTAATTCACTTTATTTTTTATTAGTGCCTAGTGTAATATCAGAGTGTTCGGCATGGTACGGGCGCAATTTGGCTCCAAAAATGGTGAAACTTGGGGTTTTGAAATTTCATTCTGTAATGTTTCGAATGGTGTAGGTCACGTCAGTTCACTCCGACATCTCTAATTCACTTTATTTTTTATTAGTGCCTAGTGTAATATCAGAGTGTTCGGCTTGGTACGGGCGTAATTTGGCTCCAAAAATGGTGAAACTTGGGGTTTTGAAATTTCATTCTGTAGTGTTTCGAATGGTGTAGGTCACGTCAGTTCACTCTGACATCTCTAATTCACTTTATTTTTTATTAGTGCCTAGTGTAATATCAGAGTGTTCGGCTTGG